ATGCTGAGGGGGCAACACAGACACTGGCAGCAACAAAAATTGGTATTAAGCAATAAAAACTCATCAAATCAGCCACAAAGCCACCCATAAAAGAGATGAAATAATATGACAGGCATTATAATGAAAATAAGTACAGGTAGTTCTCTTACCAACCAAAATTGGGGCTGGCAATTATGTTGCTAAGTAGTGTGGTCGGTAAGTGTGACATCATGTGGCCACAGTGACTTACAATGTCAGTTCTGGTTGCAGTCATTAAGCAAATCACACACAGTTACATGATCTCAATTTGTGATTTCCTGCTGGCTTCCCCATTGACTTAGCTTGTGAGAAGCCAGCGGGAAAGATCGTAGATGGAAATTCCATGACTATGGGATGCTGCAAATGTCATAAATACATAATGGTTGCCAAGCACCTGAATCGTACTCACATGACTGTGATGACGCTGCAGAAGCTGCAACTTCAAGGACCAGTTATAAGTCTCCTTTTTCAGCACCATCAAACTTCGAATGTTTGCTGAACGAGTGATGGCCAAGCAAGGATTACCTGTACAATCTTATCCACTAGATACATCTAAATGAATGGTCCCCAAGTTGTCCATTCTGGACAATTCCTCTTCCACAAGGAATTGTCAAATATACCGGTAAATGGAACCTGATGAAATATAGGCATCTAAACAATGAATTAGAAACCAGGGCCCAAGAGACAAATCAACAAATCAACTCTTACAACAGTAATTCTCAACCCTCAACCTCCCGGGGTCCGTGAAGGCTTGAAGAAATGTTCTATTTCGATCTTGGTTGTCTGGGGGGATGGGCCACAAAGGGTATTTAAAGGGGTCTGTGGTAAAGAAAAGGCTGAGAACCGCTGCCTTACAACAGAGTTCCCCAACCTTTTTGGCTTTGTGGACTGGGGATGGTTCTGCATGAGCAGTGGGCAAGCACGCACATGCTGTTCCATTTGCATGAGAGGCGGGCACACAAACCAGCTGCTCGCGCAAATGGAGCATGCACACATGTGCTTATCCACTGCTCATGCAAGTGGGAATGTATGTGTGCATGCCAGTGGTGGGTTGCCCCCGGTTCAGACCAGTTCTATAGAACCGTTAGTAAAACCGGCGGGAGGCTCCGCCCACCGTTCCCAATGTCATCAGGACACTTCCGCGCAGCCCCGTTGCAAACTGGTAGTAAAGGTAAGTAGAACCCACCCCTGGTGCATGCTCACCCACCACTTCCACAACCTGCTTGCGAATGGCTCAAGGCCCAGTAATGGGCTGCGGCTCAGGGGTTGGGGACCCCTGCCTTAGAAACATAACATAAAGGAGCAATTAAAAAAAGAAAGATTGTTAGCGGCTGGTTTACAATTGCCTAACTGAATAGTAAAACTGGTTCCCAGTCCCACTCTCAGGACCTATATTGAATTTTTGTTTCCATTGTGGTGATTCTTTCTAACTTGCATTTACATTGGCACATGCACTTTTTATCCATTCAGGGTCTTTAATTATTAGTATAGTAGAGATTCGCCTTGAGGTTATTTCCTGCTTTTTCCATCTGCATCTTACCTGCCAAAGTTTTAATTTCTCTTAGCATTTTTTTTACAAGCATCAAAGTATCCAATTAAACTGTATTTCCATTTTATTAATTGCCGGTCTGGCCAATTTCTCCTTACACGAAAGGGTAGGTTTACTAACAAGTGATTCGTGATCTCTCTCTTCCTCAAATTTGGTACAAAATCTCCTTCTAAACAGAATATCAGACAATACTGGCAATTGATGCCAACTTCAAGATTTCCAAATGGGCTCTGAGTGAGGAAAGTGGGAGGAACTTTCTAATCTAACATTCTCTCATGTTGCCTCTGCCCTTCTGTACGCTGAGCGTACAGCAAAAACTGGAATGATGAGGCCTTTGGGGTAGACTAATTTTACAACTCCAGCAAAAGAACCATCTCACTCTCCTCTGGAGGCAACTAATGATATGATTTCATTGATTGGGTAGGAATACTGCCAAAATTCCCAATCTCCCAGACTCCATTTATCTTAAATAATGCCCAGATCCAGAAACAAGCCCTCATCTGAACACAAAGTGACTGTAACCTCGAATTAGTTCCCCTCTTTCCCATTATGACAGAGTGCCAAGTAGTACATTTCATGCCACCATTCGTCACAAAAACGAGGCTGGGTCACGTCCTCTGAAGCCCCAAAAATTACCCTCCAGCTCTATGGGAAGAATCTATCTGTATTTACTTCCAACACCAGTTTGTAGAATTCCATTTCAATATATGTACATTAGAACAGATTGTGATCATTAAGTCTGACTGCTGTCAACTCTTGAGTAAAATCCAGCTGAACAGCAAGTCATAATAAGGATATTGCAAAGTTTTTTTAAAAAAAAAACCTCATTTTTTTCCCCTAGCAACACAGCATATTTTTCCTAAGGACTTTTACTTTCTTAATATACCCAGGTGCACTGCACAATCTTGGATCCACAAGGTGTCTTTCTTCTTTTGTAAAAACAATGCATCTTTAATTTAAAGCCCTGCACTTTATTTATCACATTAAAACCCTGTCTTTTATTTATCCTGATGTATGCCTCAACTCTCCTAGGAAGAAGCTCAAAATAACTTGCAGGGTTATTCCTATCTCACTTTTATCCACAAAGAAAACCTGTATGTTAGCATTATTGAAGAACCATGGGCTTCGTGACTAACCAGGGGGGTTTATATGGATCTCCTTAGCGCAGAATTTGGTTTTCGATAAACCAACCTTCCTTCAAGTCAACAGGATCATACTAATCAAAACAGAGCTATTTTACGTCTGCTCTTTTATTTGTTCCTTTAGAAGGCCTCAAACTGTTCTGCCTATCACCAGCACTCATCTTGATATTGTAATTTATAAATAGTAAATGTGATATATGACATATTTTGAATATTTATCCATGTAAACAAATCTCCATGGGTATAATAAGCTGGTACAACCGACTGTACTTATCTCTGTGATATGATAGCATACTAAATCAGTAAGGAATTTTCTGTGAATATGCCTAAACTTACAGAGTCAGAGGGAGAAAATTTTTAAACATCATACAGAAGCTAAGACAACATTCAATTGAATCCCAAAAGGTTAATGGATTTCTGCTTTGTTACTGTAACAAAACAGCATTCTATGAAAATCTAAACACAAAAAAAAATCATATTCCACTTATTTTAGCTGCTCTGAAACAGGAAACAATAGACAATGTGGAATATTTTTTTTTAGAATGGAATATTCCTATCTGGTATTTGTTATAAAAGCGGCAAAGTCAGATTTTATTTCCCAAGCTGGCTCTACGTTTTGTTTATGTTTTAGATATCCAGAAGTTGTAACATTGCAGATGAGAATTGTGATAATTGACAAATGGTAATACTGAACAAATCAACTCTATTGTGATTGTATAAAACTGTAGCGTTTTCGACAATTGGGCATATTTCTGATTAGAACTGTGGACGTATGTTTCTAAAATACAGTTTCTATCATAGGATCAGCAATACATTTTTTTTTAATATAATTTCTTCCTGTCGAAAACTATATAAAAAAGTGACTGGTTCCCTGAGTTAAATGCAATGGTTAGATTTGCAAAAATGTGAACTAGTATTGTTGAAGGCTGCGTACAACACTGAATTTATTTGAAAGAAAATAAAAGAATAGCTGCCTCTAGATGTATTTTATTTTTAAGATTCCTGAGAATGAAGGTAGATTTTTCCCCCGTCTAACCATTCTTTGGTGGAGATGGTATTCACCTTAAATTCTTAGTCATCTTCCTGTGCAGAAAATACAGCTTTATACACAGATTTACACCCTGGCAAAATGCTAAACCAGGAGGCTAGGCAATCATTTTACTGAATTGTAAAGCTGGATTGTCCTGAGAGAGAGCAACTGGTCCAAAGTCACCCAATTGACTTTGATGTCTAAGGTAAGACTAGAAATCATAGCCCCCAGGTTTCTAGCCTGGTGTCTTAACCACTGGACCAAACATACTTTCTTTATGTAGTCTATAAAGCAGATTCTTCATATTTATGAAGATGTTCAAAGTCTGATTGTTTAATAGTAAAACTGGATCAGGGCTACTTGGAGAAGTTCCTTGGTGAATATTACAAAAAGCTGCTTTCCACCTCTGCAGTGTTTGTGAAATAGGGCATCTCCCAAGATGCCCATTTCTCAATCTTGGCAGTTTTAGGATGTATGGACTTCAACTCCCAGAATTCTCCTACCAGCATTCTCAGTTCTGGGAGTTGATATTCAATATTAACTTCATTGGCTAGCAATGACAAGGCTTCTCTGTCTGTCCAGGAAATGCTGGATGGACATGTATTACCAGTAGATTGAAACAACCCTTTTGTTCAGATCATCAAGTGATTTAGCAGAGAGACCTCCTGATCTAGCAACCATGCAAATAAAAGCTGAGTGCATGTATAAACTAAAATTCATAATACCATAGGGGTTTAGTAAAAGCCAATGTTACTTTCAACTTGATTCTTGATAAGTTCAAGGGCTGTCCATGAAATCACCAAGAATCAAGCTGTACATGGCCTAAACCTAACCCTAATCCTAACCTTCTCATACTGTAAGTTCTCAGTCTTGTCTATAGCTCTAGTATTTGTTTGTGGTGTCCATTAACATATTAGTTGAGGTCACATTAGGAGTGACCTTGTCCAAGGTCAAGTTCAATCAGGAGCCACAACTGCTGCGTTGAAGTTCATATTCACCAACTGGTATAAAGAATACCATATACTGAGTTATTTTACTCTCCAAGATTCTGTAACTTTCATATCATCTGCTTTTTTTATGGCAGCGAAAGGAACAGGAAGCTGAAAAGTTTTGAGTTCAGATTTACAGTTCTTCTTTGTTAGTCATGCTATATAAAGTGTTTGCTCTGCAGTCTAGAGTTCTACCACTCAAGCTATCATTTTCTACATAATATGAAACTTAATTAATTATTTGTTTTCCTTCTCTCTTTTTAAGATCCACCAAACATCTATCAACACACATTAACAATAATATTCATTAGACTAACTGGTGGCAAAAGTTGAACTCATGAATAGCTTCTTTCTCCTAAAGGAGATAAATATTCAAAAAAGAGGTAACATAACTTGTAGTCATGAATAATAAAATAAATGTAACATTCTCTGGCTGGTTGAAATGTAGACCAAATATTTCATAATCAGCAGTCCAGATTTTTTAAAAAATGTTTAATCCTGTCCATATTTTGCTAAAGAAAAAAAATATCCAGGTTGCTAAAAATCATAATGGCCTTCTTGTATTTGGTCCTTCAATGACATATTCTGGAATTCATCCCCCCTCAATTTTCCAAATTGGCACTTATAGTTATTATTTTATAGTGACTCTTCTGGTTATTTATTTGTTTAGCATATGGCAATGTTACCTTAGCCAGGAGACTACAATGCTAATACAGAGTAGTAGTTTGGATGCCTGTTTGCTAGCTGTTTGGTTCACTCTCATGCACTTCCCAAGGTGTGCCACAGGAGGGCAAGCTACCTCCACAAAAAAAAAGATGGGCAGCTTCCCTGCAGTGTCATCCAAGGCCTCTCCCTCCACTGAAGCTGCCTCAGAAACTGTCATTGCAACAGGAAAGGTTCAGCACAGGCAGGATTCTGACTATCCACACAAAGCACCAGGTTGTCTCCTCACCAAAGTGGTATCTTTTTATCTAGTCGCATAGAACATGCTTTCAAACTGCTACATAGGCAGAAGTTGAGGCAAGTGATGGGAGCTCACCCTGCCACATAGTGCTAGGACTCAAGCGCTGGAGCAGAGACCATCTGCAGTGTCATTAAGCCATTGAGCCACCGTGCCTCTAGTTTTCTGGGTTAATGCAGAAACGGGGTTTACAGTTGAGGAAGACTGCTTTGAACGATGTGACTTGTATTCTTTTTCTCCCTCTCTTAAGTGGTTGGATAAAGGACCAGCAGAAATAGAACATGGTAAATCTTAATGTTTCCATGCTCACCGCACAATATTTTCATTTTCATTCTTCTCTGGGCTATATAGACCTTTCCAAGGAAAAATAGTATATTTTGCCAATATTCTCTCAAGTAATTACACCCATAGTGTTAGCAGTGGGAAGTCTCTGATGCACAACATAAATCTCCATTGCATGCACACAAAGGACAGTGTGTTATTCGAAAACCAAGAACATTTTGTTGTGTTGAGTGCTTATGTGAAATACTGATGAAAAAGAAATGATATATCAAACACTATATATTCAGATGCAGCTAGACACAGATTTAACTCAATTGCACCAAGTTAAGGGTAGGCATGATCTCCCAGCAAAGAAATTATGTGTAACTAGCCATAATGAGAAAAGCTGTGTTTTCTTTGCTTGCTATCTTCATTCCCTCTAAAGTCAGAAAATTAATAGCAGTTCCAAGGGAGCTGATAGTCCATGGGTGGTGAGAGATTTTCAAATTGGAAGGAGTCGGAGGTATTGTTGTCTATCACATGATGAAATGCTAATAATATGCCAACAGGTTTGCATGGAGTGATAGAAAACATGATTTATTTCAGGTGTCAGGAGCAAAGTTATTTTTTTATTAGTCAGGAGGAACATTAGGAAGATTGAAGCTAACCAGACATGGATAAATAAATGTACTGCAGAAAGAACATCCAACAACTTTATCTCATGTCACTGGTTGATTTCTGTGGACTTCAAATCCAAAATAGTCTTTATTTTTTAAAAAAGTTCCTTAGAAAAATATGCAAATAATTATTCTTTTTTCTTTCAGTCAGAACATGGCAGCGGCAACCTTACTAAAATTCTGATTGGAAGCAAAAAAGCAAGAGGAAAGTTTTCCTCTGAAGCCTCCAACTACAGTGCTGACAACTGGATATGTTTAAAAATTTACTTTATGAATGCACTAAAACAGGGGTATCAAACTCAAGGCCTGCGGCCTGGATCGGGCCCATGGGGTGCTTAGATCTGGTGCCCGGTGCCACTCTGGAAACAGCAAATGATGAGCCTGCTGTGCCTCTGCCAATGAAAATGGAGCTCGGGAGGGCCGCTGACAGAGCACTTGGGCCACCACAGGTCCCCCGACACGAGTGACATGCACCCTGGCCAGGCCCACCCAGCCCCCCAAGATCAAACACAATCCTGATGCGGCCTTCACCGAAATCAAGTTTGACACCCCTGCACTAAAGCTTACTTGCTTCATTTATTTACTTATTTTGGGGTGGTTTTTTTTAATATTCTTTTATGTTGTCTTTAAATTGTGAAGCTGTTAAAAACAGGACTAAAAAAATCACTAATACCAACATGATAAGCTTTGGGAAATTCTGATTTAGAAGCACCGGGTTGGGTTTTATTAAGTGAGTTTTATTTCCACTAGAATACAGAAAAAATGATAGGCATCCAATGAATAGATCTGAATTAGCAAGCTATGTTTTATAACCCAGCAACAGCAGCAGTAACTCAAAGATCAATAGAAGAAACTCTGGGTTAGAGCAGAGTATATTTATTTTCAAACTGATTTACTTAAATTATTCTTGAACTGATACTGCATTTTTCTACAATAAATTACACTCAAGACAGTTGTCAAATTGGAATAAATAAATAAGCAAAATACAATCCTAACCATAAAACTAATAGACCAAGAATGATAAAATACTGGAATAAAAACATATCTTGAGAAAGCACAAGGGGGAAAAAATTGCTATCAGAGCCACCATATGCAATTCTCTTCCACCAAACTGCCACCGATATTTTAGCAAAGTCTCAATACTGAAGTTGGGTTCGCACACGGCCATTACCTATATTCTTGTTTGTTTGGCTCTCACTTAGTACATGAGATGAAACCAGCCACTGTGGGTGGGAAATAATGGTTTATCATATTGTAAGAGTCCAGAAATAAACCACGATTAAACAAACCATACTGAGAGGCTGCACCTGGCAAGGTCATTATACAGACATGTCTCCTAGCCTTTCCTAAAGATTGCAGAGGGTAAAAATTGCCCTTCATTATATACATTATATACATGAAGTGATGAGAGGCCTATTGATCTGGGGTCCTAGGATGTCAATCATATCAATTTAAAAGTAGATGAATCATCAGCCCATCCACACAGAAGGGGATTAGGTCACAGATTAAAGAAAGACCCAAAAAGATCAAGGAATCTTTTTTGTTTGCAGTATGAAGTAAGATGCAGTCCAATTATTTAAAGTCCTAGCTAGATCTGATCCAACTTCCCATAGAAGAATGTTCAGAATAAGCATGAAAATAACACTGTGCTGAATGAGGCACATCACAATACAAATCGCTTCACTCTATCTAATCAGGGCATTTTTTGCACCATCCTATGGGAAATGCTGAAATGCTCAACACCCGTTGACTTGAGCCTTGGAATGTCATGAAGATGACATTTTCATAAATCTTCATCAGGCAATAAGTCTTAATCTATATGCTTGGGCCACTGGGAAATGCCCATTGGTTAGCATTAAAGCACTAAGCGTGAACAAGAGTAAATAAAGGACAAGATAAAGCTGGCAAGAATCATGATCATTTGAGCAATATCAACTTTCACCTGTCCATGAATATTTGACAGTGGGACCAATGGCTGCCATATGTCATGAAGTCTGAAAGAGATGAAGGAATGGATGTCTTGTGTGTGCACTTTTTAGGAAAAGAAACTGCTGTAAAGTTGGATGCTTCAGAGTTTTAGGAACCGTTCCTGAGGACCCCTCCAAAGTGTGGTTTTTATGTATATAACAAAAGAGGGAAATATCAAATATTAAAATATGAGGAACAAATTAGAATTAATGCATACATATAATATACCAATTAAATTTAATCAAATCTAGTTTAAATCCTCCTTCACACATCTCAGTATACGAAATACAGTTTAATCTTTATCAATGAACAATATTTCACAATGGAAAAGAGGATTATGAAAATTTTCCATCATGGATAGCCCAGTCTCCAATCCCCATCATTCTTCAAATATAACAGATATATGGCAATCTGATGCAATGAAATAATTTTCTTTCTTTCTTAGCTAAAGATACTCTTTAAGAGGTATTCATTTGATTGTCCACCATCACACTCTGATTGCGACAACATTAAACTCATAAATGAGCAAAGGAATATGCGGTGTGTCTATATGTATATGCATTATTTTATTCGTTTAAAACATTTATATAGCCGTCCATCTTCCAAACAACTCTGGGCAGCTCATAATCAAAAATTAAAACAACATATAAAATCATATTAAAACTATTTATTTGTTTGTTTATTTATTTATTTATTTATTTATTTGTCATATTTCTATGCCGCCTACTCTCTGAGGACTCTGGGCGGCTTACACCAAAGATAGTATACTAAATAGCATATTGCCCCCAACAATCTGGGTCCTCATTTTACCCACCTCGGAAGGATGGAAGGCTGAGTCAACCTTGAGCCGGTGAGATTTGATCCGCTGATCTGCTGAACTAGCAGTCAGCTGAAGTAGCTGCAGTACTGCACTCTAACCACTGCACCACCTCAGCTCATTTAAACTATAAAACTACTGTTGCTTCAACCAGCTCCGGTAATATCCTCCATGGCAGAAACTGTCTATCAGGCAGAAATGGGGAACAGGATAAGATGCACAATTTATTTGAAATTTCTTCATACCCGAACCACCTTTTCTTCAGGGCAGGCTGGAGAATTCTGGGAGTTGAAGTCCACTCATCTTAACTGGAAATTTTTGTTGTTAGTTGTGAAGTCGTGTCTGACCTATTGCAACCCCATGGACAACATTCCTCCAGGCCTTCCTGTCCTTTATCATCCTCTGGAGTCCATTTAAGCTCACGCCAACTGCTTCAGTGACTCCATCCAGCCACCTCATTCTCTGTCGTCCCTTTCTTCTTTTGCCCTCAATCTTTCCCAGCATTAGGTTCTTCTTCAGTATGCTGGATATACACTGATGTAACTTAATCCCTGTTTTGTTAAAATTTATCTAGGAAAGGAGAAAGGAAACCCATGAAGCATTTGTTCCCCCTGAATAGCAGTTCTTAGTACTGGGACATTTTAATGGATGTCCAAGTGAAATTTCTTTACTTGTAATTTAAACTTGTTATTTAAACTCCTGTCTTCTGAAACATCTCTGAATGCTTTCTTCCTATCTTTTGTATGACAGCTCTTTAGATACTTGAAAACGGTCATCATGTTAAATATATCTGTCTCCCACTGTTCCTTGTGTTTGTTCCATCTTGGCTGACTTCCTGTGGACATTAAGCAGTTTAATATTTTATTTGCCCTTCACTGCTTACACACTATCATATCAGCATTATTTTGGCCTTGTTTGTCATTTAATGAGCATAGGTTTTGACATTTTCCTATTAATTATCTGCCTCTGAGGGCTCTGGTTTTTTTCTCCACTTTCTCTTTGATTGCTTCTCTTTCTGATAGCTGATACTTTGCCATAATTCTTTCTCTTGATTTATGCATATGCATATTTCTCCATGTTTCCTTTTTTGTTAAAAATATAATAGCTTTAAAGGCCCAAATTCAAATTACGTGGTTGCTAGTAGTTGAAAATAATGTAATAGTACACAATCAGTTATTGAATCAACAGATTAGAAAGCCAAGATATAATTTAAGAAATAAATATTGCCCAAATTATGTACCTGTATCCCTTCTCCTCAGAAGGGGTTCTAGTGTTCTTTTGGTTTGTAAAAAAGGACCAATGCACAGCTCTGATTGGTTGAGCCCTATGACATCCAGAACTCTTCTTCCTTAGATAAAATGTTCTTTCCAACTCAAATTCAAGGCCCATGGGCCAGATCCGTGTCTAACTCAAGGCCCACAGGCCAAATCCGGCCCACAGGGTGCTTATATCTGGCCTGCGTGGGCATCCTGGAAACAGTGAAGGACCAGCCCATGATGCCTCTACCAGCAAAAACAGAGCTCAGGGGGGCCGTGGGGGGGCCCTCCCAAGCTCCATTTTCGCTGGCAGAGGGTTGCAGGAAGCTTTGCAGTGGAAAATGGAGCTAGGGCAGTGTCCCCGACATGAGTGACGAGTGCCCCCATCAGGAGTGATGTCGAGCTGGCCACACCCACACTGGCCAAGCCCAGCTCCCCGAAGTCAAAACATAACCCTGATGCGGGGTTTGACACCTCTGCTCTAAACATTGAACACAACAGGATCTCAATTGTTGCAAGGAAAGAAGCTGGCCAAAGAAAGACCAACTTTGCAAAATGTCCTGGAACCAACTGGGGTTTTTTTGAAAAAAAAAAAATCTCCAAAGAATGCCCAAAATATTGGTAACTGTTCTAGTCTAAGCACACTCCTTTTCCATTCTAGTCACATGACCCAGAACAAAGCAAACACACAATCACAGCATGCTTCTCAGGGCCAACCAGTGGTGGGTTGCCCCCAGTTCGCACCGGTTCTATAGAACCAGTAGTAAAACTGGCAGGAGACTCCGCCCACCGACCCCGATGTCATCAGAACACTTCTGCGCATGTGCAGAAGAGCGCGCGGGGGGGCCGTTACAAACCAATAGTAAAGGTAAGTAGAACCCACCCCTGGTGCCAATGTGCACACAAACATTTGGCATTGCTGGTACAGGTAATCCTCGACTTTTGACCGTAATTGAACTCACAGTTTTGGTCATATATCATGATGGTTATAACAGAGGAGAAGAGAGCTCATCTTCTAGGGTCTCGTGAAAAGAGAACTAATCCATATCTGCTGGGTAAACCAAACTGAATATAGCAATACCAGTTTTGGAGTAACTACATAACCGTTGTCATTTATACACAACTAGAGAAACATTTGTTTCAATGTTGATGTGTTCAGAGATCAATCTTGTCTAAGTGACTATGAAGATTCTCAGTAATTCCAGGTCATGGTTGTCCCAAAGGTGCTTTTTCAAGAGGCAGCTGGACTTCCTTGTTTTTCTTTGAAGATGTTTCGCTTCTCATCCAAGAAAAACAAGAACGTCCAGTTGCCTCTTGAAAAAGCACCTTTGGGACTTGTCTAAGTGAGGTTCTCCCTACAAACTTTCAGTACTGCAGCAGAGAAATCAGGATGAATGACTAAATGCAGGATAGTCAATGGCTTTAAGACTGAAGAAGCTACTTGGATAAGCAGAGAAACGTTTCAAACCAAAAAAGAAAAGAAGTCCAGTTGCCATGACTCAATTTCCAGGCAAACTCTGCCTGGATGACTGAGAGTATTTATCAACATATCTATAGATTTACGTATATAATGTGAACATTCAGCTACAAAAAGGCATGAGTGTGATTGAGGGATGGAGCACCAACTTCTGCTCTCATCCTTCTGCATCACATTATAAACAAACATAGGCGATTCCCCCAAAGTAAAACCTCTGGTTTTTGTGCCAAGCACCTGCCTTTTCATTTGCTGCAAGCAACTCAAAACATGTTTCTATTAATAACTTCATAAATTGAGCCCAGGTGAAAGCTCTGTTGAGATTTCTGGATAATTAGGATGTGATAGTTGCACCGGCATGGTGAACGGCAAAACATTTTTGACCAAGAGATGACTGTTTGGGGAGGAAAGCACCTTCTTTGCATACCAAAGGCATCTCCTAGAGACATTTGATTTGTCAGCTTATATAAACCCACGTATATAATTTATCTTTTAAAAGCATTTCTACATTGATAACACTTTTACTCCTAATGGAAATGAAAGGAGTGGGAGTCAGACCATGAGTGACAACAAAAAGCTATGACATTTGAAAAGAGAAGATGGAATAATAGCATTTCTTGCTAATTTAAACAACAAAACTAGCAATTCCAGGAGTAAAGGATGAGAGGGGAAGGGAATAAGGGGGAAATGTGTAACATATTTTTTTTTTCTGGTTAGAAACAACACTGAAAGAAAAGAAAAGCTTTCTAAATAGTACTTTGCTGGTCAAATAGAAGAA